TTAAGATTGTACTTTCTTTCGCCTCTAATTTGATTTTGAATAGTAGATTCCAGTATCCGACCAGCTATTCTGAATGAATCAGATCTGTTTCTTTCTGATGACGCTGTTGAACAAATTGTGGATCAGGTACTGCGCATCCAGATGAAATGTTACTTTCTGTTTATTTCCTTCAGCTTATTTGGTCCACATATGCCTAGACTGTAGTGCGGTGTGTGCCACATTTGTTTGCACTTACATGCCTTCACATCTAACTTGTGGCTGGGACACCAAAAGTGCCTAGCAGCTTTCAGTTCATTTCCTTCACAAAAAGTTGTCGCAGGTTTCATGTCGAAATCACTTCTTGTGGCGCAAGAAGCGTTCACACTATAATTAACCTCTTTCTTAGGGAAGTAATTCAGATGGCATCGAATAAGCTCTTTGATCTTGATGCAAGTGAAGAAGAATGCTTGAGATTCCAAGTAAGGGCATTCTCTCCATTATAGAGCTAGGCTAGATAGGACTCAGTTTAGATTGACATAATAAGGGTTTGAGATTGACTTAGTCAATTCAGTGAAGTGAATAGGCGGATCGAACTCAAAGCAAGGTGTAAAGCGGTAAGGCATTACGCTGTGGTTAATCTTCAGATATAGAGTAGGTACCGAACCGGAGTCAGAGTGAACTGCGGTATTTCATTCAGTCAGCTTGGCTTCGAAGATGTTAACCTTGAGGAAGTACAGGAATGCAAGCAAGCAAGGCAAGGAACTCGGTTACGCCTGGAAATCCTCTTTACTTTCCACGAAAAGATCCACTTCAAAAGTTTATGGAGTAGAAGAACCCGCCTCATATCGGTACACCTGAATAACCATATCTGTGAAACCCGGTCCATCTGTATACATCGATATTTTCACTGTATACTCATTTCCTTTCTGTTTCATTTTCCTCTCTAAAATAGCTTCAGGTTGCACTAGTTATTCTCCATCTTTCCCCACAATCGGCATGTCAGATAGGACTTGTACACCTTCCCCCACCCTTTTCTTCAATTGCGAAACATTAAAGACTGGGTGTACCAGCTTTTAAGCTATCTTACTAATCCTTTATGATCACCTCCTGAATCTTACTTACTTCTAAACTAGTGTGCAACTCGTGGATGAAAGGAATAGTTTTCCACACATAATAAATCATTTGAGCTAATTCCTGAAAAGTTCGATTTTCCTCTTTGCTGATCATTGAAAAATCGATCTCTCAATTCCACCACTTGCCCGAAATCCTGAAATGTAACTCGACTAACCCAACTGCTCTTTGAAAAAGAACCACTTATTTTATTGAGTTGGTAATTGACGAGCATTTACTCTCTTTTTTAATCCTTTTTGAAGAGTCCCTTCTGACGTGGCTTTTTGATGAGAAGAAAGTGATCAAATTAGAAAACGTTTGCCCGAGAAGTACGAGTATATTGTCGCTGCAATTGAAGAGTCGAAAGATCTGTCGACACTCTCAATTCAACAATTGATGATTTCATGTTCGTCGCATGAAGAGAGAAATCTACAGCGCGGGCTCGGTTGAAAGTTCTTTCCAGTCGAAGTTGAGGAGCCCAAAAACCCTCGATGAATAAAGGGAATTTAAAGAGAAAGGGCGGCTCTCGTACTTTATATAACTTCCTAACATTCGTATTTTCGTTCGTTATATAGCGGAGAAAATCTCCCATTCATCCGTTAGTGATTTCTTGCTTGCATTGGCATTGAATATTCTAGTGTAGTGACTGGGGCTTCCATAGCCGCCAGATACCTCCTGCACGCCCTTCTGGGTTGAAGATTCCTACTCCTTACTGTGAGCAGTGGGTGGCATAGCTTTTTCTAGAGGATAGCATTGGCTGTCTTGCCTTCTTGATTGTACTTCCTATTAGTTCACGGGAGACCATCCGGATTTATTCATATCTATAAAAGTACGGCCTTAGTCGCGCATTGGTGTGAGCGAGGCGCCAGAAGGTGCTTTCTCGTAGAATCATTTCATTGGGAAAGGAAAGAAAGTCAGAGCTCCCTCAATTGTGCACTCTTCACCTGGAAAAAGCGGAAACCGTGGATACGTCAAAGAGAAACCTTACTAAATTGAAGTAGGTCCGGTGCAGTTTCTGTAGAAATATTTTACAGGGTAAGAAAGTTATCCGGTCGGTTGTCCGACAGTGCCGTAGTTGAATAAGCATTTCCTTTTTTTACTTCTAGAAGGACTCGAAGTGAGACCAGAGAGAGAAGCCCGCAAACCATAGCGACTAGCTAGTCTCAAAACAAAAGAGTTCTTTTTACAGTAGCGGGGTTGGGAAAGTAAGGAAAGTAAAGCCCGATGATTCTGTGGGAAGGGACGGATTTGAAATTCCTTTTTCCTTCCTTTTTACGCCACCTCCACCCAATCCTTGAAGATACGAAGCAATCTTATATAAAGACTAAGTGAAGGTTGGTATGGCCCAATCCCATCATTTAAATGAGAGTGGATCGAGGGAATGGAATCTAGACTATAGATTGAACTAGAC